CGAAACACTGTGTATTGAGCAGGGAGTGGTGCTTTCTTGCAGGTTTGCCGAGTCGAAGGTTCGATGGACTTCTCGTGTGCTCTGGATGGCAGTCGTGAGTCAGTCAAGTGTCAAGTAAAGTCGGCGGAATAGCGCGAGCTCCGGTGTGGGGAGCAAACCCTTTTCTTACAAATCATCGCCGAGGTCGCAACCACTACTTCGTACTGTTGTGCCCAGCGCGGGCTTGCGACTAGTTGGTTTGGAGGTGACAGCGTTGCGAATGACCGAGGGTCCTCGACGTCTGTCTCACAGTCCAGGAGCGACACTGACTCACGCTGCTATCTGGTGCTCAGGAGGTGTTTGTCGCGCTGAAAACGGAGCGTCTCTGTAAGTTTGTATCCCTGGTGATGGTCGTGCCTGGAGAGCACTATATAAGTGGTGCTCTTCAGGCACAATCTTCCTCAGCCTACTCAAGCTCAACTGATGAGGGGTGAATTCCCCGAAACACTGTGTATTGAGCAGGGAGTGGTGCTTTCTTGCAGGTTTGCCGAGTCGAAGGTTCGATGGACTTCTCGTGTGCTCTGGATGGCAGTCGTGAGTCAGTCAAGTGTCAAGTAAAGTCGGCGGAATAGCGCGAGCTCCGGTGTGGGGAGCAAACCCTTTTCTTACAAATCATCGCCGAGGTCGCAACCACTACTTCGTACTGTTGTGCCCAGCGCGGGCTTGCGACTAGTTGGTTTGGAGGTGACAGCGTTGCGAATGACCGAGGGTCCTCGACGTCTGTCTCACCGTCCAGGAGCGACACTGACTCACGCTGCTATCTGATGCTCACGAGGTGTTTGTCGCGCTGAAAACGGAGCGTCTCTGTAAGTTTGTATCCCTGGTGATGGTCGTGTCTGGAGAGCACTATATAAGTGGTGCTCTTCAGGCACAATCTTCCTCAGCCTACTCAAGCTCAACTGATGAGGGGTGAATTCCCCGAAACACTGTGTATTGAGCAGGGAGTGGTGCTTTCTTGCAGGTTTGCCGAGTCGAAGGTTCGATGGACTTCTCGTGTGCTCTGGATGGCAGTCGTAAGTCAGTCAAGTGTCAAGTAAAGTCGGCGGAATAGCGCGAGCTCCGGTGTGGGGAGCAAACCCTTTTCTTACAAATCATCGCCGAGGTCGCAACCACTAATTCGTACTGTTGTGCCCAGCGCGGGCTTGCGACTAGTTGGTTTGGAGGTGACAGCGTTGCGAATGACCGAGGGTCCTCGACGTCTGTCTCACCGTCCAAGAGCGACACTGACTTACGCTGCTATCTGGTGCTCACGAGGTGTTTGTCGCGCTGAAAATCGAGCGTCTCTGTAAGTTTGTATCCCTGGTGATGGTCGTGCCTGGAGAGCACTATATAAGTGGTGCTCTTCAGGCACAATCTTCCTCAGCCTACTCAAGCTCAACTGATGAGGGGTGAATTCCCCGAAACACTGTGTATTGAGCAGGGAGTGATGCTTTCTTGCAGGTTTGCCGAGTCGAAGGTTCGATGGACTTCTCGTGTGCTCTGGATGGCAGTCGTGAGTCAGTCAAGTGTCAAGTAAAGTCGGCGGAATAGCGCGAGCTCCGGTGTGGGGAGCAAACCCTTTTCTTACAAATCATCGCCGAGGTCGCAACCACTACTTCGTTCTGTTGTGCCCAGCGCGGGCTTGCGACTAGTTGGTTTGGAGGTGACAGCGTTGCGAATGACCGAGGGTCCTCGACGTCTGTCTCACCGTCCAAGAGCGACACTGACTTACGCTGCTATCTGGTGCTCACGAGGTGTTTGTCGCGCTGAAAATGGAGCGTCTCTGTAAGTTTGTATCCCTGGTGATGGTCGTGCCTGGAGAGCACTATATAAGTGGTGCTCTTCAGGCACAATCTTCCTCAGCCTACTCAAGCTCAACTGATGAGGGGTGAATTCCCCGAAACACTGTGTATTGAGCAGGGAGTGGTGCTTTCTTGCAGGTTTGCCGAGTCGAAGGTTCGATGGACTTCTCGTGTGCTCTGGATGGCAGTCGTGAGTCAGTCAAGTGTCAAGTAAAGTCGGCGGAATAGCGCGAGCTCCGGTGTGGGGAGCAAACCCTTTTCTTACAAATCATCGCCGAGGTCGCAACGACTACTTCGTTCTGTTGTGCCCAGCGCGGGCTTGCGACTAGTTGGTTTGGAGGTGACAGCGTTGCGAATGACCGAGGGTCCTCGACGTCTGTCTCACCGTCCAAGAGCGACACTGACTTACGCTGCTATCTGGTGCTCACGAGGTGTTTGTCGCGCTGAAAATGGAGCGTCTCTGTAAGTTTGTATCCCTGGTGATGGTCGTGCCTGGAGAGCACTATATAAGTGGTGCTCTTCAGGCACAATCTTCCTCAGCCTACTCAAGCTCAACTGATGAGGGGTGAATTCCCCGAAACACTGTGTATTGAGCAGGGAGTGGTGCTTTCTTGCAGGTTTGCCGAGTCGAAGGTTCGATGGACTTCTCGTGTCCTCTGGATGGCAGTCGTGAGTCAGTCAAGTGTCAAGTAAAGTCGGCGGAATAGCGCGAGCTCCGGTGTGGGGAGCAAACCCTTTTATTATAACCAATGTTACTTTTATGGCACCGTGGAATCGTGTACAGCGTACAATGCCACAAGTCATCCCTGTGCCATTCATGTTATGCAAATAATCACTAGGGAGTAGTACAAAAGGTGATCATGTCAAACACAAAAGGATAAAGACGAATAGTTTTATGTATTCGCACGTGTGCGCGCGTGTGTGTAGTACAAGGTCAAGAGGGTGTGTGTATGTGTGTGGGTGTAATTGCAATTCGCGTTGGGCAGGCAGACTTCGCAGCCACACCCAAGTCGTCGCTCTTCCTCTTCTGTCCACGAGTTCTGGGAATTAAAAAAGCAACAAAGCAACCAGCCCTGGCCTCATTCAGTGCTGAAAACAAGTGATCTTGAACATTATGTTCAAATCTATACAACTAAATAAGACTTCGAAATTTTCGGAATGAGTTTTCCAAAGTGATACATTCTCTAACACGTTGAAATGAAGTAGAATGGTAGACAAATAGGTATAGTTTCTAAATATCCCAACTTGGTGAGGTGTCCGAGTGGGTCCAAATGAGAAATTCAGGTTCGTGTTACACCATGTCAAGATGAGAAAATTCCATCACGTTACTTACCTAGGATAGCGTCCTCCATATTCGTCACTTCCATCCATTTTGGCGAGTCGAGACTTGGCAGCAGTGTGGACGATGTACCAGACTAGCTCCCAAAAAAGGCTCGAGCTGAAAAGAACAAGTGGCAGCTTGTCACGAAGGTATACGTCTGGTCTTCTCGTCACTATTTGAAGGTTTCTCAGCGCTGTCAAAAGAGCAAAAATTTGAATTTTCGCGCGGTTTGTATTTTTTGTGTGAGGCAAAGCTCGTAATCCCGGATGTGTGCCCGTATCATCTCCCGGTATTTTACTACTCCCTGATTCAAATGTACTCCCCTCCCCTCCCCTGTGCCTACTCCTCCCCAGTTTTTGGTGCACTGAAGTGTCGCTGAAGCCGAGACCTCAGGTCGGCGGAGATGCTCCAGTTTCACCACCACAGTTGCGTCTGCAACCACCTCTATCATGCAGTATTCTGTTCTCGAGGTTCGTGGTTTGCCGTAAAAAAAGAAAAGGAAAAAAACCCATGGTAGACCCGTGTGCTTGAGTCTGAGACGATAATGACGAGTTTGCTGTTTCTGATTCGAGCACCTAAGGCTGCGTTTACACGGAGATGAAATGAAACGCAACGAAATCGTTTTCAAACCGTTTACACGAGAACTGCAAAACGTTTTGAACCGTTCACACGAAAACGGAAAACGGGCGATCAGGCTGGAGCTAGCACGTGCTGGCCTGGCGCAAGGGCGGGAAGTAACACGTTAGTTGGAGTTGGTACGTGCTGGTGGTCGCAAGGATTGGGTATTTCCAGCGAAATATACTCCAGCACGGAATGTTTTCCATGACCGCGCTCCGTTTCCAATCGTTTTCACTGTTTTCACCGTTTACACGAGAACGTTGTATATTGTAGACTCTCACTCTGCTGACCAACACCCCCCCCCCCCCTACAATCCGCGCCGCAAGCTACTGTGTGTTGTACTTCCGTTGTTAATGTAATATTATGGTAATAAACATGTTAACTGGTTTGAGGGAAAGAGACAAACGGGAAAAGTCTGAAGAAAAAATTGACTGTCACCACCAGGACTCGAACCAGGGACCCTGGCTTGTAGCCAGCGATGCTCTAACCACTGAGCTATGGTGTAGTCGTCATCCCAGCAGAGACCGTTCAACGTATTATTCAGACTTCAACATGGTTAGCATTTTACTGTTCACGCTATTTTCGACGGTCGGCGTGTAGAGGGCGAGTCTATTGTTTTTGATGTGTTTTCGAGACACGGTTAGCAGGGCCGCTTCTGAGTCCTGACTCCTGGCGCATCGATGGACTTGTGACGTAACCCTAGTTGGAATCTTACCGTTTCGTTCTCCCGCTAAACAGAGCTTTCTATTGTCGAAACGGTACCTAACCGACGGTATTTTGGATGTTGGGTACGAGTACCGTTGGACCTAGGGCGTTAACTGTAAAATGCCATGTCTACACACACAAAAAACGGTACAGGCCTACCGTCGAAAATAGCTCGAACTGTAACATGCTAACCATGTCTAATAGATGAAAAACCCTACACGCACCCTCCTAAACAAAAGTGGTTTCTTCACTGCAAATTACAATATCGCAATCAAATATTCGGCCAGGAGCCATCATCAGGATGGAAGAGAAAATAATTGAGATTGACCTATATGATGGAACACAAAGTGCAACGAAACTATAATTATAATATGCACACCATCCTTTGGGCAAAGGCACACATACACATACAAACATACACATACACACGCCAAAACAATCAGACACACACTCATACTCACACTCGCACGAACACTGTGAGCGTAGAGTATCACCATAATCAAGCGTGTAATCTCTCCCAATGCCTCTGGACTTACAGTGTCTCGAGTCTGATATTGTTTTTGAATAGCGAACTGGGCAATGAATTAATCTTGTTATCCTCTAGTTGACTACAGAGTTGAAAAAGAAAAAAAACAAACGGTTTAATTTTGAAAGGATTGGGAGAGCTTCAAATTCAAAGTATCAGTCGGGGACCCACCAGGACTGAAACCCCGGACCTGGCTTGTCATGGGCAATGCTCTAGCCACTGAGCTATGGGACCGGGCTCAGCCTAGAAGGCGCAGTGTTTTGAGCTGCCTTTGGAGTCCAAAACTTGTCATCGCCTTCAAGGTTCGGCCTAGAACATAGAGCCTAGTTTTCATGGTGAGGTTGTGAGTGAAGGTTGTGATTTTCTCTGTGCTATGGCTGAGTATTTGGAGACCGAAAAATCACGATTCGGATCCACGAGCGAAGAGGGTGGACGGAAATAACTCAGCGATGTTACATCCAAGAGAACTACTGCTGCCACCGCGTTTTGGGTGAGTTTGTCAGGAAGAAGTCCGAAGACAATGCTTTGCACTGCAACGCAAGCACGATTACGGCTGAAGAACTCGCCTGTTTCCTCGAGCAAAACTTATCCGATGTCCGGAAGCAGGACGGCAGTCAGTACAGAAGCAACAGTTTGATCGCCGCTCGATCTGCCCTCGTTGGCACTTCAGCGACGTGGGCCCGAGTTACGATCTTGTCCATGGCCGGGAGTTCACCACCAGCAGAAAAATTCTGGACGCCGTACTGAAAGAGAAACAACGAAGTGGAAAAGAGACTGGGGCCCAGAACAAGAAGAACATTTCCGACCGTGATTGGACGAAATTTGAAGATTACTTCAATGACGTTCTCACCAGCAACAACCCGCGAAAGCTGACGATGTACGTCTGGAACCTGTTATTCAGCCATTTCTGTTTACGAGGTGATGAGCTGCAAGCCCGCCTGAACAATTTGGTCTTCTCCACGGTGGACGGAAAAGAGACCATTTCCATCGCAAATGAATTCAGAACGAAGAACAACCGTGGTGGTCTCGCCCGCAAGGGATTCCAGGCCGAAGGCGTTATCGACGATGAGCACTGAGCAGCAGGCTGCCACCGTGAAGCGGTACGTCAGCAAGCTGCACCCTCACATAAATCGGCTGTTTCAGCGTGCTCGAGTAACAAAAGATGAGGTCGGACCCTCTGATATGCAGTGCTGGTTTAGGCCGTTATCACACTGCGGGTTTTTTTAGGCGCGTTTGGGTGTACGTTTGCGTTTGAGACCGGTAAACGCAAGACGTGATATCATACTCTACTTGAGATTTTCAGCGTTTGGGTCAAAAACAGTGCGCGCTGGAAAATACAAAAATGTGGGGACCAGATCTCTGCGTGGCCGTGGACGTTGAATTTATTTTCCGGAGATAAGGGAGGGTTGTGTTTCTGCTCCTATGTCCTTTTGTCAGTGGTGCTGAGGAGAGGAAGTTGATAGGAAGATTGCACCCGTTGCGTTGTCGGTGTTGGGGTGACAGTTCCGTTGTCGAGGCACATCGTCCAGTTAGGCTAGCCGCCGCCAACTAGTCAGCGCAACCTCCGACACGAGCTCGCATCAGGTCCATGCTCGCGTCAAAGCCCCGATCTCTACGGACTCTGAAATCTAAAGAGCGCATATGTCCAAAAAAACCGTGCATTACATCACAGTGCATAGACCAGTGTCACTCACTGAAACATAAACGCATCGCGACCAATACAATGTTGGAAAATTCTTGAGCACATTTTTCCGGGGATATAAGGTTCGTCGCGATAGGATAAAGGTTCACTGAGCGGCGACAAGATGAACACGGAAACGTGCGACGCTGCTTCCCCTACAACATCATTGACGAGTGGAACACCTTGCCCCCAACTGTGCTGCAGGCTACGCCACGCCTGACGTCTCTTCAGTCGTTCAATGGCAACGTGCATCAGCACCTACAACAAAGCCGCTGGTATCGGGCTGCAGACTCGCTGTAACACCCCATATATCCATAATCAGCTCCCTCTCCCTCACTTATCTATTTACATGTGTTTCGTAATCCCGTCCATGGTGCGCTGGATAGCGCTACGCCGACACCCTAGGTCGGTGTTGCTAGTCCCGCCTCACCGTCACAGGCTCCATGAGAGCCCCTGCTAGTACATTGTCTGTCTTCCTCCTTTGTTGTCTCGATCATTATATTCTTTTGTGACGTCTCTCCAGTCGTCCAATGGCAACGTGCATCAGCACCTACAACAAAGCCGCTGGTATCGGGCTGCAGACTCGCTGTAACACCCCATATATCCATAATCAGCTCCCTCTCCCTCACTTATCTATTTACATGTGTTTCGTAATCCCGTCCATGGTGCGCTGGATAGCGCTACGCCGACACCCTAGGTCGGTGTTGCTAGTCCCGCCTCACCGTCACAGGCTCCCTGAGAGCCCCTGCTAGTACATTGTCTTTCTTCCTCCTTTGTTGTCTCGATCATTATAATCTTTTGTGTTCTTCTTCTCCTCTCTTTGTTATAGTCTATCAGTAGGAGGTAGGGAGGGCCCGAATATGCTTGCGCATATTTTCGCATATTTGGTCCTTTTGACACAAGGTCGCATAAAGTAGCAAATCTAGCATATTGTATCAAATGTAGCATATTTGCTACAAGGAGCGAAGAATTCGCATAGTTATAGGGCAGAGTGCGGGAATGGGCAAGGAAACTTACTACGGCACGCTCGGTCAGGGAACACTTCCAAACTTAGCCCGGAAGGAAAAATGCTCATCCAAAAAAGGGGCGAAATTTTGACCCGAGAAGAGAGTGTCCGCGACTCAAGGTTGCATAAAGTAGCAAATCTAGCATATTGTACCAAATGTAGCATATTTTGCTACAAGGAGCAAAGAATTCGCATAATTATCACTGATATCAGTTCATATTTCCAGCATATTTCGATCATATTTTTCTGCTTTTGTGTGATTTCGAAGCATATTTTGAAGCAAGTGGCCAATAGGCGAAAAGCATAATATGCGAAATTTTTGAGCATATTTGGGCCCTCCCTAGTAGGAAGTGCATTCTGTAAAAAAATTAAAAAAACCTCGGGCCAGTGCGAACGTTACAAGGCGTGGACTATCAAAATGGGTGCCTTATTCTTTTATTTCTGTTTTGTTTTAATGACAGTCCATTGTACGCCTGAAAAAAAGTACTTAGTTATTAAGCGGGTTACAGAACTGTCGTTCGCTGGCTTACTTGCAGTTTTGATAACGCTTCGCTCTTCGCTGAGATACCTACCATTCCCTCTTTTTTTTATCCTTGATTCTCTCTGCATGTACCCATTCCCACTGTCACATGCCATACCGCCACCGCACCTTCACACAAGTTTGTATGCCACCTTGTACAAAAAAAATAAAAAGTTAGCTTTTCTGAGAGCAATCTTCTTCCATGCCACCTTGTACACAATAGGTTCACAATTTGAAATTTTCAGGGCAAATTAAAAGTACATGGATGCTCGACATGAACGTGAAACGCCACCGTTCGAGTACTCGAAGTTCATACTCTGCCGATTTTTTGCATGTAAGCGTCTCTCACTTCTAGCGCCATGGCGTTAAAACCGAGGCTTTTTTCTCCAAAAAATTGGTCCAAAACAGCGATGTTTCACCTATAACGCCATGGCTTTATTTGAGCGGAAATACGGTATGTTCTCCCCAACCCTCCTTTCCTGTAACATAATAACATATTCGCTGCCTTGTCATTGAGCATTTGTGCTCGTTTGGATTAGCGAATTCAAATAATGTATACAAACAAACAAACAACGCGAATTGTTTTGGTCATGACTTTGCAGTTATTTGGAGCGTGCTAGGGGATTTTCCTTCGACGTGATGCATGCTTGATAGACGTCGAATAAAGTGTTTGGATCTCAGCGTTGTATCGCAGTTTGAATTTTGGAAAGCTGTTGAATTTGGGAAAGATGCTGAACGTGATATTTTAATTCCTGTGTTTTTCCGAGGCGAGGTGGAGTAGTTTGGAGAGGAGGTGGCAGTGGATCTTTTGTGTTTTTGTCGCTGAAATATACTATGATGGATTCGCCTGGACCTGATATTGCCTTGGAGCTGTGCACCTAAACTCCACCAAGCGAGTCAGTGCGCTGGACAGCGGGCCAATTGGCGAAAAGGGGCCCAGCATTCAAAGGATTGACTTTGCCATTGGCATTGATCTTGCGTCGCAGTTTTTATATGTTCATGTATTTTTCTTTTTGCAGTAATTCGTGCTGAGAAACTGCAATGGACGCAAGGGAGAGTTGCAAATATGAATGAATGAATCTAGGGAACTCTTGACGTCTTCACCCTTACTTACAGCAGCCGAAGGTTGGTGAGCCTGTCGAAAATCCGTGGAGGCAATGACGGCAGTCTGTTGGTATGCAAATACCTGCAAGGTAACGCAGGAAACGTAATATTATGCAACTAACAATCCGAGAGTGAATTGACTACTCGACATATACCACACTCTCTTCGGTCGGCCTGCCACAATTTTCACAACAGCATCATTTTTGGACTTCACGAGCTTTGGAAAGCTCAATCTGCAAGAGTGCATCATGTGTTTCCACTTCCCATAAAAATAAATTACCTTTCCTCTATATTTTTTTTATATTCGAACTCGGATGTTGTGCTTCATTTAGGCCATGGCCACACTACGTAAAATTATTGTATAATTAAATGTTCGTGCATACTTCAGTACAAGTCTAAAACTAAAATCATGCTCTTTTCTTCTCAGCCCGATGTTCCAGCCCCCCCCCCCTCCATCCCACTTTCCCCCAGCCTATAGACATAGTCTCCAGCCATAAGTATCTTGGCATTTTCATTGAATCTAACCTTTCATGGGAACCCCACATCGATATTATGGAAACGATCAAGTTCATCTTAAGGAATCCTCTCTTCTCACTGTTACCATCTCCCAATCTCTTGTAAACTCCTCTTTACTCAGCTTACCTACGCCCAATCTTTGATTGATGAATATGCAAATACTGCTTGGGCCGGAATTTCCACAACCCGTGCTGCCAAGCTGGAAATTGACCACAAAAAAGTTTTCAAAATCCTCCTCCGAAAACCCCGCATGCTCCCATCTTCCATCCTTTATGCCCTTGCTGACACTACCCCTTTGTCTAAGAGACGTAATTCACATCTTGTCACCCTTATCCATTCTCTCAAACTCAATCTGTGTTCACCTCACCTCCACTGTTTCAACTGGTTCTCTTCCCGTAGCACGAGAAACTCCCTTTTCCTCCCGAAACCTAAGTCCTCCTTTCTACTTCACTCTCCCTTTTTCACTGCGTACTCTGCGTGGCTGGCACTTCCCCAAGAAGCTAAGGACCTTTCTTCCCTCCGCCTTTTTAAGAGCCTTGTCGCACCTTGACTTTGATTTTGTGTTTCTCATTTTGTTGCAATCACTGCTTATCCATGCCGGCTCTTTTTTTCTTCTCCTCCCCTTCTCCCTTCCTTGCCGTGGTTGGCTAACACCCTCTCTCTTTGTATTGGCCGGTGTTCTCACTGTGCTATGAGATGCTGTAATAAATAAATAAATAAATAAAATAAATAAAGTCGGTACGCAACCACACTGCACTTTTCGGTCTGCATACATGACGCTTTCACGCGACGAGAATGTGACTTTGTCGTACCAGAGCGTGTGCCATGGACTGGGACAGGACAGGGAGATTCAAAAAAAATTCTATATAAAATAATTCTCCTGGCTTTGTTGGCGTTCGAAACATTTCGCCTAGAGTGGTGTGTTCTTTTTTGTGTCGTGAAATTCCACTACTTCAGTAGCGATTTGTTGTGGCTATGATTCCCTTCTCCCCGAGATAATGTACTGGCAACCTATGTGCAATATGGGTACTTCAGATACTACAAATTTATTATGCTTGCAACTGAGAAAGATGCTCGAAAATGGCGATTCAACGGATGCACCAATCCGAGCAATTGGTTACAAGGACATCCATCCTCCTCGCCGCCTACGTCGCGCTGATTCGTACCAGAGATCGTCAGACGGTTATTGTGGACTACCCATCCTTAAAACGGGATTGCATAATCACAAGGATAATAATAATTACTTCGAAGTATAAAATTCACTGGTTTGATGGAAAGACACAGACGGGAGATGTACGAAGAACATATTGACTGTCACCATCTGGACTCGAACTAGGGACCTTCGCTTTGAGCCAGCAATGTTCTAACCACGGAGCTATGGAGTAGTCGTCATACCGGCAGAGAGCGCTCAACCTCGTCTGCAGACTTTGTAACTCACACTTCCCGTGAATTCCAAAAAGCATACTATTTATAAAACATTAGTACTTAGTTTTTTAGGCGGGTTACAGAACTGTCGTTCGCTGGGTTACCTGTAGTTTTGATTCATTGAAATATCTACCAATCTCTCTTTTCTCTCCTTATTTCTCCCCAACCCTCCTTCCCTGTAACATAATAACATATTCGCTGCCTTGTCATTGAGCATTCGTGCTCGTTTGGATTAGCGAATTCAAATAAAATATACAAACAAACAAACAACGTGAATTGTTTTGGTCATGACTTCGCAGTTATTTGGAGCGTGCTAGGGGATTTCCCTTTGTCATGATGCATGCTTGATAGACGTAGAATAAAGAGCTTGGATCTCAGCGTTGTATCGCAGTTTGAATTTTTAAAAGCTGTTGAATTCGGGAAGGGATGCTTAACAAGAACGTGATTTTGAGTTGCTGTGTCGTTCCGAGGCACGGTGGAGAGGAGGTAGAAGTGGACATTTTGTCGCTGAAATATACCATGATGGATTCGCCTGGTCCTGATCTTTCTTCGGAGCTGCGCGCCCAAACTCCACCAAGCGAGTCAGGGCGCTGGACAGTCGGCCAATTGGCGAAAAGGGGCCCAGCATTCCAAGGATTCACCTTGCCATTGGCATTGATCTTGCGTCGGAGTTTATAATTATGTTAATGTATTTTTCTTTTTGCATGAATTCGTGCTGAAAAACTGCAATGGACGCAAGAGAGAGTTGCAAATATGAATGAATGAATTTAGGGAACTCTTGACATCTTCACCCTTACTTACAGCGTCCGAAGCTTGGTGAGCCTGTCGAAAATCCGTCGAGGCAATGATGACAGTCTGTCGGAATGCAAATGCCTGCAAGGTATAGGAGGAAAAGCGGTATTATGCAACTAACATTCCAAGAGTGAATTGACTACTCGACACATACTACACTCTCTTCGGTCGACCTACCACAATTTTCACAACAGCATTATTTTTTGACTTCAAGGGCTTTTGAAATCTCAATTTGCAAAAGTGCCTCATGTGTTTCCACTTCCCACAAAATAAATTGCCTTTCCTCTACATGTTTTTATATTCGAACTCGGATGTTGTACTTCATTTAGTCCGTGGCCACACTACGTAAAATCTTTGTATAAATGTTCGAAACTCGGATGTTGAGCCAATAATAAATGTAGAAAGGAAAAGGAAATATAGATACGAGTTGAGACTAACTCTCCATCACTGTAACCAGATACGATATACAGTCAGAAAGTGCAACAACTAGGAACAAAACTGACCGAGTACTGAGACAGTCGACGTCCTGACACCTAGCTTCAACACATCTCCGTAGCGCTAACCGACAGCCTTCCAAATTGGAAGGTTCAAGATTATGGAAAGACCAAAGAGGGGAAGGCAAGCGCAACGAAAATGAGCACAAGCTACAGTCCCAACGGAACAAAGAATGTCAATTGTTACTGGACTATGACGAGACCAGTACGATATTTGACAAAGCGGTCTAACTAAAATTCGAAGCAGCAAAGCAGCACACCACTCAACTTGGGTGGGTCATAAATGTCAAAGATAAGTACAGAAGGGGAAGCTGTGCGCAAACGAATTGTAGAAGCCACCGAGGGGAGTCGTCAATGCCAGTTCTTCTTGGCAGAATTGCACTGCGCACTGTGCCTGTGGTGCTGCGCAACGGCAAACGCAGAATGCTCTGTTGGATGGCGTCAGCACAACGAGCTACATCAACGCCAGTTTAGCGACTCCTCTACAGACGCACTTACTCGAACTCTAAAAGACCTCTCTCCCAAACTGACCATTTGACGCCCATCGCCGGAGAAAAACCGATTTCTCTGAACCTTCTATGAAGTTAAATTAACCTTAATCTTAAACAAGCCAATGTTCTAAAAGGAAACATATCTTTCCGCATGCGATTTGTTCATGATTAGGGAAACTCATTTTTTCAGCAGTTTCTGTTGATATACATATCTAGAAGGCTGATGATCATGAATCTTGGAATATTTGTCAGGCTTTTGAAATTTTCAAGTATCGGACTACATAACGCGAAATGTCGTGAATTTTCGGTATTCGGCCGTACTTCAGAATTGGTGAAATTTTGGTGTGAAAAATTGTCTTTATCAGACTAATCCACACGTAAGAAGTGCACTCTGCTACTATGGCCACCCAACTGGCCTGAAGATTCACCGAAAATTTGGTCATGGCACATAGAAACCTGCCGTCTTTCTTCGATGTTCCCAAAATGGAACGTTGGCCCCATCCGAGACCCAGATATACCTCATATTTACCTGATTTCAGGAACCAGTATATCTAGCGCATATGCCTTGTTCGTACCATCCGTAAACGTGGATATGTAACTGATGGAGCCTTTTTGATGTTTTGATGGTGATTTGACCGTCTCCATGGGAACTAAATTTGGTCATATAATTGTGATTCACTAGCATGCGGAATACGTATATGTTATCGCATGGCTGCGATGGCCTTATGGCATATTATTGCAGCGAGAGGTTAGCCTTCGGGCCTACGGCCCCTGGGCTAACCTCGAGGGGCTATAATATGCAATAAGGCCCGCAGCAACCATGCGATAACAAATTTATCAAATGTCCCACAGAGCAGGCCATTGGGCTGCTGTTGAAACTAGACCAAATGCCCACACATTATGACCACAATGTATATTGATGCGCTATCATTATCAAAACAGGAAAAATGAAGATATTTCTCCTACACCCTAACAAAAAGTCTGCTTCAGGCCATCAGATAGTATACAGTACTGAAAGACGGAGACAGAAAAAAAGTGCCGACACGGCATCGTCATAGCAATAGACATGGCAACCACAATGAAACACAGCAGAATCGTAATTTGAGTTGAAAAATTAAGAGTGCTTCCACAAAGAGTTTCTTCCTGTTTGCATGTATATCAGGAAGTTGTCAAATACAGCTTCTGAGGACAATTTTTCTTCTTTTTCTCAGCTCCAGATGGCTGTATTTTTTTCATTGCAAAACATTCCTTAATTGTTCTGTTTGTTGTTCAAGCAAAGGTGAAGGCAGAGGACAGATGAGGTAAGAGTTTTGCGTGGCACAGGAAGACCACACACAGGCAGTGACTTTGCGAGGATCTGAAAACGCACGATGCTGAGCTGAATTTGTGTTATTTCAAAATTAATAATTGTTTGTGATCACTGTACCACATCGAGCAGAACTGAATCTTATCCACCAGCTTACCGACGGTCACGCTACCAACATGACCGAACAAATGATCCCTGCAAACACCACACGGCAGACAACCGAGGCCATGTTCATGGCCATGTCCACCTCCAAAAAGAATTTCATCTTCGTCTCAAAGGTACACTGCGACTCGTCGTAGAGTAGTACAGTCTACAGAGTCGTCGTATACGCGTAGTCAAACGATCACTGAAATAAAGTATTTTTTGCGGGCAAATAAACTATTTTTTTTGCGGGCAATATCGCATATTATTGCCCGCGGCGCGAAAGGGTCTGATTCGCTGGAGTACGGGCAACAATCACGTGCCATGTGATAAAGCAATGTTATGGAAGCCTGACACTTGCCAAAGTAAAGATTGCTAAACAGTATCCAAAGGGATATACTTCTGAAGTAGGTTTTCTTTTGTGTAACAAGATTCACTTGAACAATATTTAACAAAGTATGGATGCTTTGTGCCGTTCTGCTGGACTTTCAATGATTGTTTCCTCCGCGCGGTTGCATTTTTTCAGAAAATATCGCTTAAGCTGTAATGTGGTATGGCAAAGGGAATTGCTTACAGTAGCAGAGTCCTTTCTGAAAAGGGACTCCAAAATGATTCCAGTGAGAGCTAAGGACATTGTTGAGAGCTCCAACACACTTTTAAAGAACCTTTTCATAGCGCCACCGATTACTGGCAATCTGAACGTGATAGGGGAAAGGCATCCTGCAGCTTCATAACTCGAAAAGAAATGGTGAGCACACTTGCTCCTTCCCTGAGCACTGCAAATTCATAACTGAGTTCACGGCATGATGCTAATGATTCAGTGACTCTGATGCAGTAAATCTGCAGTGCCCTTGGAAAGAGCATGTGTGCTCACCACTTCCCGTTGGTCTGAACGTGGACGATGAAATAGAGTAGTAATAAGATGAATCAACGGATGATAAAGGTTTCATCGAACCTGCAAGAGATCTGGACCTAGAAAACTACCAGGTGACGGATGGATAGGATTATGATGTTTGTGTCTGTCCTACTGATAGTGAGTACGACGGCAAAAAAACGCCAACCCGCTGGAGCAAGGGGTGGGTGAAATAGACTGGTGTTTATGATAGGCGTCCTGAAATTGAACTGGACTAATCCCTTCATGATCACCACGAGACCACTACAGCCTCATTCACTTGCCAATGGCGAGGTATACACACCCTGTACATCTCTAACAATATTGGACAAGCAAGTATCGCGCAATACCCGCGACACAGACAATCGTGAGAGATTCATTGTAATTCTTTTTGTCTGGCTCCACATTCTTACAACTGATATGAGATTACGAAGTAGTGGTTGCGACTTCGGCGATGATTTGTAAGAAATGGTTTGCTCCCCACACCGGAGCTCGCGCTATTCCGCCGACTTTACTTCACACTTGACTGACTCACGACTGCCATCCAGAGCACACGAGAAGTCCATCGAACCTTCGACTCGGCAAACCTGCAAGAAAGCACCACTCCTTGCTCAATACACAGTGTTTCGGGGAATTCACCCCTCATCAGTTGAGCTTGAGTAGGCTGAGGAAGATTGTGCCTGAAGAGCACCACTTATATAGTGCTCTCCAGGCACAAACATCACCAGGGATACAAACGTACAGAGACGCTCCGTTTCAAGCGCGGCAAACACCTCGTGAACACCAGATAGCAGCGTGAGTCAGTGTCGCTCCTGGACGGTGAGACAGACGTCGAGGGCCCTCGGTCATTCGCAACGCTGTCACCTCCAAACCAATTAGTCGCAAGCCCGCGCTGGGCACAACAGTACGAAGTAGTGGTTGCGACCTCGGCGATGATTTGTAAGAAAAGGGTTTGCTCCCCACACCGGAGCTCGCGCTATTCCGCCGACTTTACTTGACACTTGACTGACTCACGACTGCCATCCAGAGCACACGAGAAGTCCATCGAACCTTCGACTCGGCGAACCTGCAAGAAAGCACCACTCCCTGCTCAATACACAGTGTTTCGGGGAACTCAGCCCTCATCAGTTGAACTTGAGTAGGCTGAGGAAGATTGTGCCTGAAGAGCACCACTTATATAGTGCTCTCCAGGCACAAACATCACCAGGGATACAAACTTACAGAGATGCTCCGTTTCAAGCGCGACAAACACCTCGTGAACACCAGATAGCAGCGTGAGTCAGTGTCGCTCCTGGACGGTGAGACAGACGTCGAGGCCCCTCGGTCATTCGCAACGCTGTCACCTCCAAACCAACTAGTCGCAAGCCCGCGCTGGGCACAACAGTACGAAGTAGTGGTTGCGACTTCGGCGATGATTTGTAAGAAATGGTTTGCTCCCCACACCGGAGCTCGCGCTATTCCGCCGACTTTACTTGACACTTGACTGACTCACGACTGCCATCCAGAGCACAAGAGAAGTCCATCGAACCTTCGACTCGGCAAACCTGCAAGAAAGCACCACTCCCTGCTCATAACAGTGTTTTGGGGAATTCACCCCTCATCAGTTGCGCTTGAGTAGGCTGAGGAAGATTGTGCCTGAAGAGCACCACTTATATAGTGCTCTCCAGGCACAAACATCACCAGGTATACAAACTTACAGAGACGCTCCGTTTCAAGCGCGACAAACACCTCGTGAACACCAGATAGCAGCGTGAGTCAGTGTCGCTCCTGGACGGTGAGACAGACGTCGAGGGCCCTCGGTCATTCGCAACGATGTCACCTCCAAACCAACTAGTCGCAAGCCCGCGCTGCGCACAACAGTACGAAGTAGTGGTTGCGACTTCGGCGATGATTTGTAAGAAATAGTTTGCTCCCCACACCGGAGCTCGCGCTATTCCGCCGACTTTACTTGACACTTGACTGACTCACGACTGCCATCCAGAGCACACGAGAAGTCCATAGAACCTTCGACTCGGCAAACCTGCAAGAAAGCACCACTCCCTGCTCAATACACAGTGTTTCGGGGAATTCACCCCTCATCAGTTGAGCTTGAGTAGGCTGAGGAAGATGAGTCAGTCAAGTGTCAAGTAAAGTCGGCGGAATAGCGTGAACTCCGGTGTGGGGAGCAAACCATTTCTTACAAATCATCGCCGAAGTCGCAACCACTACTTCGTACTGTTGTGCCCAGCGCGGGCTTGCAACTAGTTGGTTTGGAGGTGACAGGGTGGCGAATGACCGAGGGCCCTCGACGTCTGTCTCACCGTCCAGGAGCGACACTGACTCACGCTGCTATCTGGTGTTCACGAGGTGTTTGTCGCGCTTGAAACGGAGCGTCTCTGTAAGTTTGTATCCCTGGTGATGTTTGTGCCTGGAGAGCACTATATAAGTGGTGCTCTTCAGGCACAATCTTCCTCAGCCTACTGAAGCTCAAATGATGAGGGATGAATTCCCCGAAACACTGTGTATTGAGCAGGGAGTGGTGCTTTCTTTCAGGTTTGCCGAGTCGAAGGTTCGATGGACTTCTCGTGTGCTCTGGATGGCAGTCGTGAGTCAGTCAAGTGTCTAGTAAAGTCGGCGGAATAGCGAGAGTTCCGGTGTGGGGAGCAAACCATTTGTGATATGAGATTGCTGATTTTTCAAGCAGCCGTGAGCCCCAAGCCGATGTCCTACATCCAGTTTCACCACGAGATCGCCGTCCTATTTTATTATTGCCGACCGCGGCCAGAACCACCAGTATCTTGCTGATAATGTGCAATATAAGGGCGTTGATAACACAGAATGTGGACAAAACAATGTCCTTGTAAATGGTGCAGACGAACCACGATATGCTACTGTTCTAAGTGTGGAGTTCGACTGCATTTCGACCGTGGATCGAATGCCACGGCGTATGTGAGACGCGAACGGTAGCAGACGAAAACCCTAAGAAACATTTCTGGACACTCCTTGACGACCATTACATATTATTTCTTCTCCATTACTGCTTGTTCATGTTTGCATTGTTCCGCAAACACTTTGAAGACAACATAATTCGTTATAATCATAATTATTGCATCTTCCCTTCATAAAAACCAGGGTAATATTGGTACCCGATTCTGCCAATGTTCTTTTTTTAGGAACATATAAATATTTCCCTAACGTGTTTACATATTCAGTTCAAACTTATGAACATGCTTAATTGGTCCAATAAAAGCGGAAACAAAATAAAAAGACTGCAAGAACTTTCTCAATTCTTGTGACGGCCAAATTAAGGTTAACAGTCCCTTTATTGTGCCAAGCCAGCATGTAATTCGGGTAGACTTACAGTTCTTCTAGCTGACCGGTTGCTAGGGAAACATCTATCGGGATGGAGGTAATTTGATTAGAAGCCAAGCCACTGTCAATGGAAACGAAAATACACATACTTTTCAAGTAAACGTTCAAGAATGGGTCTCGATTCAGTGAGTTACGCTCATTTGCGATCATTAGAACTATGAAAAAGAGTTAGTGGACAAGCCGTTGATTATCCACTCTCATTGTTATATCTAAAAAGAATTCTTTCTAGAACAAAGAGAGGTATATTTGAAAATAAAGATAGAATATTCACGATACTTCTCCAGACGTTTCTCCACTGACGATGTTGTTAAGAACAACGAAACGTCTGGAGAAGTATCGTGAATACTTCTATCTCTATTTTTCCAATATACCACTCTTTGGTCTAGAAAGAATACTTTTTTCCATATTAGAATTATGGTGGAGAACACGATCGCGCCAATCACCACGGAGAACACACTCGTGCTTGACGGGAGCCAATCATCGTCCGTTTCTATGCGAAGATTTGACCAATCCGCGATCATCGCGCCAATTTGGAAGTCGGTTTATAAACAGCGAGCCAAGCGATTCTACCCTCACTTCTGTTCTTTTCAGGCAGCGCTTCGGAGCTGTTGAGTGCTCTGGGAAAATTCGACGCTAACGTCCCTGAACAGAGCTGTTCTGAGGAAAAACGAAATTCCTGGCTTGCGGCTTGATCCGAAATCATCGGGCCATTGATATTTTGAGCGGCCAAAACCTTGTTTGCTCGCTTGAACGCTCCGTTTGTGAAGATGCTCACTGTTCGTTGATGACTTGTCAGCACCTGGTCACATGCGGATCCAGCGGCAATGGCAAGCAAGTAATTTCGTTTGTACTCAAAAAAGTCCTATTTACGGAAGTTAGCGAAGAGATTTTCTAGGGCACTCGACAGCTCCGGTGCGCTGACTGAAGAGGAATCAAGCGGAGCACCGAGTACTGCTCTCTTTACAGTAATCATAGAAAAAAAGGTGAATATAAGCGGTGAATATTCAGCAATATTTACCACTTATGTAGATAGCCAATTGTATGTGGGTGAATTTGGAATGTGGTATTAACACCAATATACAATATGACAGCAAATAGGTGCAATCAACAGTAGACAAACAAGTGTGTGCAACTCCGGATCTCTCCGGCATAATCTGCAGATACCCCCTCCCACGGCGGAATTTTGTGTTCACGTCACCTTTTTTTCTGAAGAACGCGCATTTTGACGCAGAGCAGAGTGAGAGCACGTGCTGGGCAACGACCTTTTAGTGTAAAGCCGGCCAAGCTGCACGAGGGAAAACTTTCCGAAAGACTCGCAGCGCGTGCGTAGTCGAAAAGATAAAGTCAACACAAAATTCGTGGGCCTACCCATCCGCGAGTTGCACACTCTTGTTTATCTACTCTTGGTGCAATGTATGTATACGACGTATGTGTACAATGAATATTCAGCATTCTAAGGTGGGTGAGCAGCTTGAGTACTTTTAAAATAGTGCGATAGGCAGCTAGAATGGCTGAATGGTGCGGAGACATGATCGACATATTCTCTACTGCATTCTGCGTAGTGTCATTCCGCAATCTCATCCTCCATTTCTTCCTCCGCAGCTGAAGACACGACGTGGCCGCAGTAACTAGCCCCAGACTCAGAATTTATCTCAGATGACGACTCCTCAGCTTCCGTCTCTGACTAGTCATTGGCCACCTTGAGCCGCATCGTAGCAGGAGATGAAGGCTGCGATTCTGTCTCGCTGTCGACATGGATGTCAGAACCAAAGAACGTCTCACCCTCACTCTGAACTTCAGTATCAACTCCTCACCAGGCTCTAGCTAGCTGTACACAATGACTGCCACGCGTGCTCGGCGTCCGCAGCCATAGCAACAAGATCAAGGAACACTCGAGTCGACACTCGACACCACTTCAACGCCAACTCAAATTACTTCAAGCAAGGCGTTCAAGAAGTGAAGAACTCGCCGCGCTGTTTTCAGCGCGATCCCAAAATCGATGAACATCACAAACCGATCTTTTTCTCGAAAATAATACGAAACCTCTAAAGTTCGTTTTCGTTTTCGTTGATTGAGCCTGGGAATGTAGCTTATGTTCGGCTTTATCACACTTACCTTACCCTCTTTGGAATTACCACTAATATCCATGACCCTTCCAAGTTGAAGCGTGCAATATGTTGGAAGACCGTTGGTTAGCTTTACCGAGCGGTACACAAGCCGATTTGCACGGCGTGGATTATCTCAGCCCTCACGGTCAGTTTCGTACTATACCTTGCAAGTCGGAAAGATCCAAATTTAGTCTAGTTGGTGAACTCGATCACGTAACATGCACCGACACTTTCCAAATTTTTGTCCCGATTTCAGGTCGTCTTTTACAAAGCATTTGTTTGCTGATCTGCCTGTGACCGCTTGGCGGAAAGTTAAGGCAGGTTTGGACTTCGATTATCTCTTGGCACTTCTGTTAAAAAGTTGATTTGATCACAAACTATCGTTAGTCCTTACAGTCGATAGAGGGTTGTCAAGTTATCGAACACGTGCCAACTAATGACGAGGTCATGGTGCAAACCGTTAAGATCACTGTTGAAAAAGGAAAACAAAACACAGCAAATGAGGTGACACGTTAATGGTTTTTAAGTGCAACTATTTCAATCTCTTTGTCCATTAGTGGGACCGTTTTTTCACCCAGTGTGGTTTTTTTAAATTTTTCTTTGGGAACACAGCCCTACAAAGAGACATGTGGAGACAAACACAAAACAAGACACAGGGGATGTAGGTACGACGTGCCGATGTACAGGGAGCAATTCGACCGACCAGGGCTCTCAGTGTTAGCGTTTGCAACCTGGCATCGAAAAAAGGGGGGCCAGGGTGGTGATTGGTCAAGTAGCAAAAATAATAATTTGGTGCGAGAAAGGGGCGCTAGTATTGCACCAAATAATATAAATACGTGTAATAACTAAACCAGAAGGGAAAACGAAAAAAGAAAACAATAATCATAACAAGCAAGTACTAGTAGAAAGGTAACTATAAAAGGGGCCTTAATATCATCGTCACAGGTACTGTGTAGACCACAGCCATCTCTTTCGGATTAGATCCTTACATACGTTGACTTTGAAGATTTGAAGGCGTTTTGAACGAGGTTCGTGAAGGAAGAGGTCCGCAGGCAGGTTTTTCCAGGGTGGGATGGCAAAGAAGGAGATCGTGTCCACTTCAGCTGATGCGTCTGACGTTTTTGCCGTGTGCACATGCTAGCTACGGCAGGGGTTTGGTTGGTGGCAGGATGGCCTTTACCTGGGGAGGCCCCGGAATGTAGTGCAGCTTGTACAAGTATAGGGCTGCTACCATCCGCCGAAGCTGAAGACTTTGGGGAATGGTTCCAGGTACCAGGAAATGTAGAGCACGTTGCTGAACCTTATCCAGCTGGGCCATGTTAGTTGCGGCTGCGCCCAACTAGGCCAGTGGGGCATATTCAAGCAGGGGTCGCACGAATCCTTTGTAGACTGCCGCTCGACCATGGTCATCCAGGATAGGTGCTGCCTTTCGTTAGAAACCCAGCCTTTGGGAGGCACGCAATGCAACACTGCGAGTGTGCGTTCTGTAGGAGAGAGCAGGACCGAGCATGACTTCTAGCAGCTACAGGGTATCTGTTTCCTATAGTGCTTCACTTCTAAGGTGACTGGTGGAGTGTAGGGAGGAACGTGCTTGCGATGTAGAGTCATGCGCTGTGTCTTGGCTGGCTCAAAGCAGATACGCCACTTGCGGCCCCACTCTTCAAGACTGTTGGGGGGCTCTTGGAGGGAGGCAGTAGACTGTACTAAGATGTAGAGTGTGGTGGTTCGCCTTGCTTCTTGCACACACTAACTTCAACAGTCCAGTTCGCTATAATTGTCTGCTAACAGGAATTAGCATTAGAAATGGCTCATTCCTAAACACACCGAAATTAACTGCGGGTTAGACTATTCTTTCAGCACAATTCTTTTCCAAAGCAGATAAAATAGTGTCAATGTAACAGGATTACCAAATTCAGCAGGGCAACACTGTCGTCCACATGTATCAAAGGAGGCGAAATCGCCTGTTTGTGGTGCGACGTTAAATAAACTTCTACAACAACAACATGCCTGGGTGGGATACTTACAGAATTCGAAGAAGGGGGAGATTTGAAAACAAAGGTTGTTCAATACTGGCAATGGGATTACTGGCCAAATACCTGTTAGAAACAGAATATGGAACCTTTCGTGAGTATTACAAGGGTAAAGATGTGAATCGTGCATGATATGTGAAAGTGGTCAATACATGAAAACTAATTATGATGATGTCCGAGAAAACCAGGCAATGTGTGTAAGTCGGCCCCTCCGATTTCCCTCCAATCTTAAAGGTAGTTCTCCGTTCGTGTGTACATCGACTATTAAGGCACTCCAAAACAATTTCTGAAGAGAACCTTGAAACTCCATACCCCTCAAAGGTGGTCGAAAATTGAGATGATTTATTAGTCTACAAACGAGCAATGACACAGTGTAGTTCTACATGACGGCAACTCCATCAAGCCATGGCATCATAGCCTCAACGAATAAGAGTTAATGGGCCAGCAGCGTTTAGCGACACCAGCATCCAAGAAGATGAGGTTCATTAACCCTCGACGCCACAAATGATTGTCCTGAGTATGGTCAATTTACAAGCGCTGATGTAACAGCTCCATGTGTGGCACTTGACATAGCAATACAGTCGAGGCAACGGACGTGTACCCAACCAATGCTGTTTCACAAAATCGAAACTAGAATTTACAAAGATTTTGACCCACACCAAGGGCATTATGGCCCACCAAGGGCATTATGGCCCAGCAAGGGCATTATGGCCCACCAAGAGCATTATGCACCAGCAAGGGCATTCTGGTCCACCAAGGGCATTATGGCCCAGCAAGGGCATTATGGCCCACCAAGGGCATTATGGCCCAGTAAGGGCATTATGGCCCACCAAAGGCATTATGGCCTAGCAAGGGCATTATGACCCAGCAAGGGCATTATGGCCCACCAAGGGCATTATGGCCCACCAAGGGCATTATGGCCCAGCAAGGGCATTATGGCCCACCAAGGGCATTATGGCCCAGCAAGATCATTATGGCCGACTCCCTCGGCTGTGTTGTCGAGTAAGGATGGCACATTCGGTCTTCGCGATCGATGCCGAGCTTTCACTTGTATTCTGTACATCCATTCCCCTGGGGTTACTGGAGACATTTAGCATAGCATTCTTAGTTTGATAAATGCTGCAAACAAACCTAAACCTTTATGACCACCTTGCCTGAGAGCATGCGACGCATCGCGGTCACTTGAAAGCTATGTAGTAACAATTCAGGTCAATTGCTTGGCGGTAATGGCTGCCTATAACTTAAATGTGTTTTTGTGCAAGAAGGATTGCATAACACCAACCAGAGTGGGAATTGTTTGACAGTTGCTGAGAAGCTTTTCTGCTGATAAAAAGATCGTTGCTCATTTGTTTTTTTGATATTTTTATTCGTTCGTTTCTCTGCGATCCAGCACGGCAGATTTTGATAACGTTCCTGAGGTTGACTTTTGATACTCTTGCATCTTGTAGTGACTTTGAGATGATTTGCCACTGATAGTCTCTTTTTGGACCGCTGCTTGGGTGATTCCTGACAACACAGTCAGTAGCGTGTTTCTTTGTTCATTTCTCTACAATCGAACTCGTCAAATTTTGATAGATTTCATGAGACTATTGCACACTCTTGTATGTATCAGTCACTTTGAGATCAATTTCCTCTCATAGTTTCATTGCTGACTACTGCTTGGGTGATCCCTGATAAATACCCTCTACAGTGCGTTTCAAAAATATAGACGCGTGATTTCAAAAAACCGTTAGGCCAGCATCTATACCAGTCTTACCAGATAAAATCTGTGACCACTTTGTGCATAAAATTTCGAAATTGGGCGTTTGATATCCGATTGCTCAAAAATCTATATCAGAGTAATTGGGGGAAGGAACTGAGCAATATTCCGAAAGAAATTCTTGAAAAGCTCCAGCCAACTTTTATATATTTCAAAATAACATGCGTCTGCTGTTTTGAAATGGACTGTAGGCTCTCAATATATGCGCCGGTATTATGTATGGTCAATTGATCCCGGCCGGTAGTTCTACGTACACTCGGACCATTTCACAAAAACGAAACGGATTTTTCACCTGGGATTTTGCTACCTGTACTGCTAGGCAAACATAGGAAACGCCAAATGATATTGTTGGATTTTGACTTTGTATGCAAAATTATCCTTTCCTGAAAGTGCGATTGGGGTCCGTTGACCCCACCTGGTGGTTTTGGTGTTCAATAAAATTAATGTGAAGGGTGTGTGAGAGAGAGAGAGAGAGAGAGAGAGAGAGAGCGAGAGAGCGAGACTGAGAGAGAGAAGAAGAGGAGAGCCTACCATAGAGAGATAGTGATAGGGAGAGATTGACAGAGAGCCACGGAGTTAGAGACTGCGAGAGCGTGGACAGCAATCGAGGATACAACCGAGTTCACTGCTAACATTATTCACCTCAAGAACTTTACAACTGGCCAGCGAAAATCAGGATATTATATCGCGATGTCAATTTGCACAAATGTTGTAAAATATTTCAACATTAAACTTACAATTCTTCGAGAAGGATATTCTTGGCCAAGAGATCTACGGGGACAAAGGATATCCTGTTGTTCCGCAAGTCCCTGCAGAATCAAGAACAGTGCATCCTGATAAAAAATGCGTTCCAAAGTAATACCGTAGAGTGCTGTTGATCTGGTCCCCACACCATGTCACTTCCCAGCCGAGTGTTCGGCTTTGGGGCGGGAATTTCATCAAGGCTGTCAAGTGCAGCAAGACTGCGTTTACATGAGAGTTTTTAACCCAGGTTGAGTTCGGGCCGGTTTGAAAGTCTGTGCGATAGAAAAAATAGGTGAGCGTTTACATGAATACAGTTGACCTGGTTCAAATACTGAAGTAGCCAAAGGTCCACTTCTAGAATCCCGATAACGGCTGTGGCTGGCGACGGAGCTACCCAATCCTTGTTTGCCGACGGCTTGGGTGCGGGTCAAACTTCCCCAATGGTGGAATTCTCCTGGTCGACAAGGGAACCAGCTGTGGGTACAACCCGAATGCCGAAAAACCCGTCCTCAGCGTGAAACCGTACTTCAGTGCAGATGCAGTCCAGATCTTTGACGGCAAGGGTGTCACCATCAACACCAACGGATATCGCTATCTGGGTGCCGCGATCGGATTCACCGTCTTCAACAGGGCGTACGCCACTTGGGCACAACAGATCAAGAGATTGGGGGAGATAGCTACCTCGCAGCTAAAGGTAGCGCACTCTGCCTTCACCCCAAGCCTCCAGAGCTAGTGGACCTTCCTTTGCTGCACCATGCCCGATCTCGTTGAGCAACTGACACCGCTCGACGATGCAGCCACTGATTGCCTTGTTCCTGCTCTCCTTGGCCGTCACGTTAACGACACGGAGAGGGCAATGATCGCCCTACTATGTCGCTTCGGCGGTCTTGGCCTGACACCTCCATCGTCAGTTACCCAACCACACGAGCTGTTGTTTCGGGTCTCTCGTGCGTTGGCCGAGTGAATTCTACAACAGGACGTTGAGCTGGGCAATACCATTGCGTGCGTCTGGCAGGCAAAGGCGCAGGCCAGATGTGATACCAGGGATAGCGCTCAAGCTGATGCTTTGCTCCTCGACTAATTTGGTGTTGCCTGAAATGCAGAGAACCCTGGATTTGGAAGCGGAAAAAGTAACCTCCAGTTGGCGCACCTGCAGTCATGTTCGCTGTCACCGCCTCAGGCTCACGAAAGGAGAGTTTCGTGACGCTGTGTGTCTGCGGTACAACTGGCTGCCTCTCCGTATTCCGACAACCTGTCAATGCGGGAAGGAATTTTCTTTGGCGCATGCATTATCGTGTTCCACGGGGGGGGGGGGGGCGCCAGGGCAATGAAGCAGGTAGCCTAGAAAGTTGTTGTGGAGCCCCACCTTGAACCGCTGACAGGGAAACATCTACGTTACCGGTCTGCCAACACCGATGACCAAGCCTTGCTAGATGTGGCAGCAAATGGCATTTGGGATGGGCGATTTGGTCGCACCTTTGTTGATGTTCGGGTGTTTAGCCCACATGCGTCCACCAATCGCTCCAACTCGATTGCCACTTGCTATGTCAAATATGAGCGGGAGAAGAAGAGCGCATATGAGCAGTGCTTGCGCACTATCGAACATGCCTCCTTCATTCCAGCCGTCATGTCCACCACTGGGGGCATTAGCAGATGCGCCACTGAATTCTACAAGAGAATTGCTAGTCTGCTAGCTGAAAAGACCACTGAACCCTACAGAAAAGTGATGGCAAACCTCCGCTGCCACTTGAGCTTTGCATTGTTACGTAACAGGGTCATGTGCCTTCGTTAGGGATATCAGCGAACACACTGCGCAGAGGGTTTGCGCAGTTATGATGTAATCGAATTTTGTACATGTCAGCATGCCACGCGCGCGGCCAGAAAAGTCCAAGTCAGAAAATGAATATTTTTGCCGGGAAACTGGAAGGAGTCTTGGTGGAGAAAAAGGAGAATGGCGGCTGAAGTCGTAACCTTGCGCTCAGGATCTGCCGTTTCGTTGATTGCTTCGTATATTCGCTGCTGGTGAAGGATTCGTGGGTAGAGAGTGACATGCCTACGGTAACAGCCACGCGATCAACTACAGATGAGCCTAGCCCCAGGACTTTCTTCAGACGAATTTTCAAATTTGTCCTTTGGTGCCCAAGGAGCATGGGTGAATTGAAGGCGATTTTTTACAACGTTCCCACCGGAGAAATCTTCTAATTTTTGGTGAACTGGTACCTCACCCATGGATCTATCCATGTGCCAAGCAAGAAAAAAATTGACGGAAGCAATCCAAGGTCACAGAGGTCAAAAGTTCACAAGGTCGATCGTTCAAGAAGAACTCAGGAAGATGAAGAAGCTTGGACGATCGATGAACATGGGCCTGTCGTCCTTCACCGATTTTTAATACTGTGTGTTTTGTATAAGTTCGTTAGTGTAATTGCTGGCAGAGGATGCCCAAAGTGAGGTACACAGTAGTCGGACATCATCAGAATCGAAACAATGGGGGTCTGTTCACAGCAGTATGCTGTAATAAGTATCACAAGCACTGGTGCAGTACTGATAGTAGCCCGCTGCAGGTTTGCCCTGCAAAGCTTTTGCAGGTTATCAGGAAAATACCAGGTAAGACCAGAATTAAGCACAAGAGACTAAGATAATACAACACTAAAAGACACACTTGGGCATGACTGTGCCGTTGCAGGTTCAGGCCAAGGCAAGAAGGTATGCCAAGATTGTTTGCGAAAGGCACCAGCACGCACCGACCTGGAGCCATTTCTACCAGACGGATTCAAATTTGAGCAGGTATGCATGACCAGATAAGTGGAATACATTGGAATACAACCACCAAATTACACATACACACAGAAATACAATCAGACTAAAGAGTGTCATTTTTCGTCTTCCACTTCCCACATGCGATGCAGGGGTGGTACAAGTGTCAGAATGTGGACATAACCGCCGAAGATGCAATCGACAAAGCCCTGAAAGAACTGGATCACCTGAAGAAAGAAGTCACAGAGAGAAGTTGAGAAATGCATAAGAAACGAGTTGCACTAGAGAGGTCGCAAAAAAGTTAGAAGAAAGTGTCCAGACATCTAACGAAAACAAACAAGCAGCTAGGGGAGCTGAAGCAAACCATTGATCACCTAATGAAGCAGAACAAGAAGAATGTAGAGTCCATTGCATGTCTACAAGGCGAACTGGTTACTATCAAAAGACACCTCTCCGCTGCAATTGTTAGCAAGCAAGCAGAATGTCATCAGAAAGTTCTCTTCAGGCGAAACTACAATGCAGCCAAGCAGACAGTTGTCAAGCTCCAGAAAAAAGTGTCTAGCGCTAACAAGGGACAACAGCCAACGCAAAGGGACCAGTCAGGTCAGCTAGTCCAAGAGCAAGTTGAACATCACAAAAAGAAAATAAAGACACTAGAAGGCAGGCCACCACGCTACACAGAAGAAGTTCGCCTCTGTTGTATTCAGCTACTGTCGCATAATATTGGTGTAAACCATGTGTCCCGTGTTATCCAGTGTGTGTTGGAAACACTTACCGATTACGCAGTTGACCGACTGCCAAGTCCTGCCAAACTTTGTGACTTTCTGGCCTAATCGAAGCGACTTGTTCTAACACAAATCGGAGAAGAGATGGCCAAAGAAATTTTTTTACAATGCATCGTGATGGTACATCCAAGCAAGGAGCGAAGTATTACACTGCGCAATTGGCAACCCCGAGCAATATACTGAGTATCGGCCTAACTCCCGTGAAATCTGGAAGTGCTGAGCATAGCTTTGACGCTATTCTGACCATGCTATCCGATGTTGAACAGGCATGCAATAACTCCGGATCTCCCATCTCGGCCCGCTTCTTTTTAACCTGTGCATCAACTCTTTCCCTGATGCCCCTGCTTCTAGTACCCTATCCCTTTTTGCTGATGACTCTAATTTAATTCTTGTTTCTCCAGCAAACACCTCACTTCCTATCCATCATGCATTGCTCCAGACTGACATTGATAAGTGTTGTCAATGGTCATCAGCTACTGCCATGACGTTTAACACCAGTAAATGCGTCCACCTACCCTTTCAAAAATATGCATTAGCCCCCGGCCCGTCATCCCCCTTGACAATGAACGGTGTGCCTATTCAGAAAGGTGATAGCCACTGTCATCTCGGCGTGACTATCACTCCTTCCATAAATTTTTCTGACCATATAAAATCTATCACCCATAAGTTTCGCAGTCGTGTTTTTCTGTTGCGCCATATGGCCCATTTCCTTTCTGCTTCAACCGTGAATTTGCTCTACAAGTGTTACGTACGACCACTGTTAGAATACGCAGTCCCTGTCTGGTCATTCGCCGTATCCCATTCAGATTCGCTTACGTTAGACCGACTGCAAGCCGTTGCTGCTCGTTCATATCTGCTTTGTAAGACCCGGCACCCTCCTGAGTGGGAAACCCCGAAGCAGATTCTTAATCGTACTTGTGACTGGTCATCCCTGAAGTGGCGTCGTCAGATTCTGTCCTTGCTGTATTTTCATCATGTCTTTTACCAGTTTCCGTCTTTGCTAATTCGTTTCAAATTCAATGTATCCCTTAGTTGTCGTCACCCGTCCTCTATAGTTTTACCTCGTTCTGGCGCCCATTTCCTTAACTCCCCTCTCTTCAGTTTATCTGTGGAATGGAACAAACTTCCAGAACACATCCGCTGCGTTCAGTCCTCTGTCAATTTTCGCATTGCTCTAAAGGCTCATTACTCACAGCATAGATATTCTCTGACTGGAATTCCGAACTTTTCCGTTTGAGAAATTTTTTTTTCCTTGAAATTAATCCTTGCTGGGTTTTTTTCATCTAAATGTCCCGCTATTATCTGCTGAGGTGATTTCTTCCCTCGTCGATTTCTTTCCTGCTTTTATACCTCGATATTTAACCCTTTCCGGACTGATGCCGCACATGTGCGTCAAAACGTCATACCCTGATTTCCTGATGCCGCATATGTGCGTCAAGTAAAAGCGCATACTTGTACAGTGCATATACATCACTGTTCAAATTGTCGTAACTCCATTGTCCTTTCTCCGATCGTCGCGAATGATG